GAGAGAGAGAGAGAGAGAGAGAGAGAGAGAGAGAGAGAGAGAGAGAGAGAGAGAGAGAGAGAGATGGCCACCTGTGGTACGGAAACGTGAGAGGATGACTAACCCCCTGCATGCTCCATACCTAGACCCTGCTCCTGTAAGCGTCTGCTTGTATAGTTAAAAGTGGGAATCGATAGATGCTGCGGATAAGTAGTAGTACTGTGACTACTGTCTTTGTCACATAATGTAATTACTACTTCCAGTACTTGGTATTGAGGTTGATGAATTCTTTTACAATGAAAAGATATGCAGTTATTTTGGTCCCATGGTTGCAGTCTCCCATACGATGGGACTGAATGCTATGTCCCATACTTCAGATTTTTAGGGTAGGTGATTACGGCAATAGTAGGGGGGGCAGTAAGTACCCAATCCCTCCCAATTCCTCCCTATCATTTATCCTCGGAAGTCCCGTTGGTAGCCCTATATCTTTCAGGAGGAGGCAAGTAGAAACTCAGTAGAAACTTCCTCCATGTCCCCCTACCTATCTTCTCGTCAGTATATACCGTTGTCCCAGCATGGGGCCAAACCCACCCTTATAGACTTTTTTAATTCCCACAAGGGAAGATACATTGCACAGGACACGGTTTCATCATAGATACATTGGATGGGCCCTGTGGCAATATCGAAAAAGGATATTTGCTGAAATTTTGTGTGTACCTCTGCTCTGATGATGATCTCAATAACTGACTGCTACTTCAGCAATTTGCGCAGATTCAGACAGGGTCTGTTGAGGGGTCAAACTGGGACCAGTTTGACCCCACATTGACCCAATTTTGACCCCAGTTTGACCTTAGTTTGACCCAAGTTTGATCGCAATTTGCAGTTTGACCCCAGTTTGCCTCCACCCTGGTTTAATCTCGGTTTGACCCCAGTTTGGTCGCAGTTTGACCCATCAACAGGTGACCCATGTTTGACCTCAGTTTGACCCCAGTTTGAACCCAGTTTGACCCCAGTTTGACCCCAGTTTGACCCATCAACAGGCCACACAGCGAAATGCACTGCTTTGATGATGGAGTGTGCCTCACAGTGCATTGTTCTTCGCACAACCACATAGCATGGTATCTGACATAGCATGGGCTATATTGTGGGACATGCCATGGGGCACATAGTATGGAACATAGCAAGTGGAGTTTTATGTGTGTGTGTGTGTGTGTGTGTGTGTGTGTGTGTGTGTGTGTGTGTGTGCGTGTGTGTGTGCGTGTGTAATTGCAAGTCGTATAGACTGTATGGTAGATAGTGTGTCACGTAGTACCCGGCATCACGTGCTATGTTTGTACGGGGCATACGAATGTCCTCCATAGTGCACTAAGCGTGGTACATTCATTGAGCGCAGTGCACAGTGCATACTGCCACGTAGTACCCCGCATGCCGTGCTATGTGTGTATGGGCCATGTGAATGTCCTGCATAGTCAAGGTGAGGTAAATTCATAGTCTGCAGTACACAGTATGTAACACACAGTATGGAGCAAGTGGGGAAATCACGTGCTATGTACTCTAAAAATAATGCATGCTAAGCAGTAAGTATAGCCATGCTAAACACTAGATAAGTATAGACTTGCTACACGCTAGATAAGTATAGACTTGCTAAACAGTAGATCAGTATAGACTTGCTAAACACTAGATAAGTATAGACTTGCTAAACACTAGATACGTATAGACTTGCTAAACACTAGATA